TTAATGGGTTCAAATTGGAATTTTTAATTGGGGACATCCTCATAGTGGATAAACCCATTCATTCTGTATGTGCTTCTGACTCCGACAGTCATTTTTTATTTTTTTATGCTGATTGTTTTTATTTATTTATTCTGTACCAAGATGGAGGATTTTTACCCCTAGCCAGGATATAATGAATAGGTGCAATATAAAGATACTTTTCAGGACCAATATAATAATAAAAATTTGGCTTTCATCAGCAACGTCATCAATTTGTCCTTCCATCCATCCGAAGCTGAAAAAAAGAGTAATTCCTAATAAATGTGACATAAAAACATATTTTTAAGCTGAAGCCAAAGGCGTGAGGTATGTACTGCTCAGCAGCCCCAGTACCAATCCTGACCCCAACCGGTTCAACCATTCGTATGAATGTGTTGATATGTATAAGGGGTATAAGGGGTAGACTTTCTCGAATATCTCGGAGGCGCTAATGCGACTCTCGTTCAGTCCAAAATGGAAATATTGCTCTGGACCCAAGAGATAGGAAAGTGATACTGCAGATCGGAAATGTCATCGACAAAGCGATGAAACCCACACTCACCTATGGTGTCCCGGGTCTCTGACTCCGCAGTCGTTGAATAGTTTACATTCACCTGGTCCAGCACACTCAGTTCTCAAAAGAAACCAGCGAAAGAGCAGTAAAACCTCTTCAAATTAGCATGCAAGCCCATAAAATGAAGAAATTCGCTAAGCAAGCTACTGATGGACCTTAGGGAAGTGCCTTTTGACCCAATCAGATTGTTAAAACTGCATGATAAAAGTATGATTAAAAATATATATATATATAAAGTATCTATTGAAGTTTCGACGGCGATTTGAAATAAATTTAATCGAAATTAAATTAGTTTTAATTGAGCCCGAAAATTTCTCATTGAAATCTGTTTTTTCCCCTTCAAAGTTCCCTTCATAGCACAGAGTCTTGCAAAAGAGTCAATAAATTAATATTTTGTGTTGAATAGATTTGAAGAAATGGTCCTTGTAGAAGGCAGTTGTTTTTGCACGGTTCACTTTTCAAAATAAATTATTTTCTTTAGAAACGGAAGTCGGAATCGCACATTAGGCTATCGTAAAGCTGATGCAAAGCTGATGCAAAAAGAACCAAGAACCTCGGGAGGAGATCGATAAGAAAGCCACTCAACCATATCATGCTAATTCTGAGCGATTGCAGGTGCCCTGCACGACCGCAATACGTGCGTTGAATTTAGTAGACCTGAATGGACGGATCTTTTGGCATCAGACGTCTCGAGGACAACGATAGGGGAAAAGTCCCTGACGGTTTCTATTGGCATCCAGACGAGTAAAAACACACGGACATGCAGGAAGGCGGATCGGAATTCCATACTTCCCTCGTCCACTCTTTTCCTCATTCTCCAAAGTCTGAGTATTCAAATCCTCGTCAGTCTCTCTCGGTCTCCGTGAACGTGAACCCGAGAGGCCTGAACGTGCCATCTGTCAAAGACTCAAACGGAATAATACAAATATTCTCCTTGCAGCCGTGGTTGAGCTCGTGCTCGCACGGGAGGAGTCGGATCCTCACACCAACGCACATCTTGTCCCCATGGATCCTGGAGATATCACGTGGATTATACCCGTACGCGGAACTGAAGCGGACCTCTACTGCGCACCACGCCATACTCGGACGGGGATATGACTTGGAGAAAATATCATTCACATCCATGTGAATGAGAAAATGCTCCGATAGTGCCGAAAACATTCGCTCCGATCTGGTCCGCTAGACCGCACGTGGCCCCATTCAAAGCATTGAGATCTAATTCCAGCAAAGGAATAGATCCACGTCGGTATGCGTCACAAGGGTTGAGGTGGTCACCCAAAGCACGAGATTGCTTATTCGAGCTATTTCACAATGAAATCATGAGGAAGCTGGAATGCTACCACGACAGACTTGTCAAGTCTTAGATATATTGGAATCGAGAGGCCTGTAACGAATCGATGATGCCAGTTTCTGGATAACGTGTGGTTAGTGTAAAGACAAATTAAGAAGTAAAAAACAATGCGATGGAAAGGTGATACAAGAAATAAGCTTTCCCTTCTCTCACACGAGAGCGACCGAGCTATTTTTTTGTTCCTTCCCTCTTCGTCCTGGCTGTCAGGACAAGGAAAGTAAACATACAGCATGATCTTTCCCCCCATCCTTGTCCCCCCCCCTCCCATGATGTCCAAGGTTGAATGTCGAAGGCTTGAGCCAGGACGCGGAGGGACACACGCCCTCGCATCGGCATCCCGAGTCAGTGTCGAACCAATGCCAAAGATTCGGACTTTCGGGGCCGACCCGATTCCGCGCACGTATCGAGGCCATCCAAAACGTCTGTGACTCCTCCGAAAAGATTTGAAATGGTATATTGTCTATAGTTCATTGAATTTCGGTAGGAATAAATGTCGGGGCTCGATTAAATTGGATTAATCTATATAATTTTTTAACATCGATTAGCATCCCTATCACAAAGTATATCCTCTGAGTCTCGAACATATCCGAACAAGTGAGGTTTGCATGACTCGTCCATGAGGTTATGACGAGATTGTGCATCGTTTGCACGATTTGTTCAGAAATCAAATAAGCGCCTTGGCAGACAAATTATCAGCGGACAGTTAAATCGCTCTGCATTCTGCACTAAACTTTGCATGAGGCAATCAAAAGCAGACAAGAGAATCTCCTAGAAGAGATTCTTTCTCGAGTCTCGATTTTTCTACGTAGAACGATGATGATCAGACTTTGCATCGACACTGGATCACGAATTCATGGACACCAAAATCAGACAGGCAACGAATCAGGATGTCTTCCTCTCACACATTGCCCAATACTTCCTCTCGCTTTGCATTTCGGAAGACAGCTGAAGCGGTGATGAAACCCATAGGAGATTGACGAAGAATGACAAGAGCAGCCTCCCAGAAAGACTTCCAGAAATTGCCAGTGGGAAGAGCCTTAGTCTCACTGTGATAATGCTCTAACAACAGGATGGTCAGCAATGATACATTTCCAAACCGACTGAGCCTCGAGAAAGCGTAATTGAAGTTGTTTCACGAAGGAGACGTCGAGAAAACACATTTTGAGTCATCTAATCATTAAGAATCATCTAGTCATTCATGAAGGTCTTCTTGTTTACAGACACACAAACCTGTCATAGACATGATTCTATTGTATATGGGAATGTCTCTGTTTATTTTCCACTTCTTATTCCTGTTTGCATAGGGGTATATACGAAACTGAGGATCGGATTGCCCTAACCCTCCTTAATAATTTATTGTAACCTTGACCTAAAGTTCAACTGCTTTTGGAAAAATAACGGACAAGACTGTCACGGCTCTTAATCGGAAAGCCTGTGCTATCCGACCTCATCGTGTTAATCTTGAACCGATGGTTTATTTCAAAGTCGTAAGGACTTTTTCCATGCAATGCTGTGGTGCTTTTGCTGAGTTTCATGTAGGAAGTTATATAGTCGGCAACAACACTGATAATTTGATGGAGTGAAAACCGACTTGAAGGAAATTGACCATATTTGAATATGACGCTAAAATATGTATCACTTTGATAAAGGCTTACCTGAAAATATGGAGTTATTGGAATTTTCATGCGATATTTTCTGAAAAATTATAATTGCTAATGAACGAATGTATATACCGAAAAGGTCAATCCGTTTTCTGTCAATGTTCAGTTATCCTTCCTCTCCACTTTCTTGGAAACCGCATACGTCTACGCCATTTCTCTACGTCAAACGGGGTCCCGTTTCTGGCTGAAATAAACATTGAATTGTGTAGCGTTCCATAAATGGAACATTCGCTCCGTAACGTTCACATTGCCCGTATGTCATACAAGGTCTGTCCCAAAAGTATCCGAACTTCAGTTACAAATCAATTTCCCATGTGATATTTATAATTTTTATTATTAATTATTCAAAATACGTCCCTTCCGAAGAAATGCAGGCTTTGCAGCGATCATACAACTTTTGGAAACACCTCTGGTAGTCTTCCTCCGAGATGGCGGAAATAACCTCGGTCGAAGCCTTTTGGATGTCCAAAATCGTGTCGAAACGCTTTCCTTTCAGCTTCATTTTTAGTTTGGGGGAAAGGAAATAATCACAGGGTGCCAAATCAGGCGAATAGGGCGGGTGGTCAAGCACTACGACTCCTTTTGAGGCCAAAAAGTTCCGCACAATGATGGACCTGTGAGACGGAGCATTGTCGTGGAGGAGAGACCAGCTGCCTGGTGCTTGGTATCGAGGACGGACCCGAGCAATTCTGGCCAGCAAACGCTTCATAACGGCGAGGTAGTATTCGCCATTNTATGATATCCTCAATGAGTCTCACGGACAGGCAACGGTCGCTTTTGATCAAATCACGCACTTTTCCCACTGCTTCGTCCGTTCGACTGGTCAAAGGGCGCCCGCTGCGTTCATCGTCTTCCAACGATTCTCTACCATTCCGAAACTTTGCATACCACTCGTAAACTGTTGTACGTGATAGTGCTTGTTCCCCATAAGCCTTCCGCAACATCTCGAGCGTCTCCGTAAATGTTTCCCCAATTTTACACAGAATTTGATGTTAGCTCTCTGCTCCATGGTGATTTCTCGACGAGTGTCATAAGGGTACTGTTACTTTTGGCGCCCTAGGCAATGACTCATTCGTCTTAGCCCAACCAAACTCGACAGAGTAATACATGAAGGTTCAACCAATAGAACGCCACCTTCTTTCAACAAATGGCACCACTAATACTGTCTGTATAGAAAAAGTTCGGATACTTTTGGGACACACCTTGTACTATACTATACAGTACGGGGTTATTTCTAGCAATTGGGAAAAAAGCTGGAGCTCTCCCGGTCGCCTTCAGGTGCACGACCACCTGAACGCAACTGTGAAAGAAAAATTAGGCTCTCCTTGACCGTTCGCGACGTCCGTTCGCGTTCGGAGTTCGAAATAGAGACGGGAGGAAAGGGGATCGCCGTGCGATGGGAACGCGAAGCTCTGCCTCCAGTGCGTCGCCCACCCACCCGTCACTCGGGAAATCGCCTGGAACGCCGGGGTTTCAGGAATTCCGGACGGATCTCTTGGCCTATCATGTTCCGGATTTCGTGATCGGCACGAGAAAGACCGGCCCGCACACTGTGCATCTGGATGGCACCTGCATGTTCATTGACATCAGCGGTAAGATACTCGTCTCGCCGACCCGTATCGATCCCTGCAGGAAACGGTCGAATGTCGACTCGGACACCCACGCCTTCACGAGAAATGAGATTCGATGAAGTATGACGGAAAATTTGCATTTCATTACATCTCATCCCGCGTGAATGAGTTTGACATGACAGGCCAGAACATCGAAACCTCATTTCGGCGAGATAAAAGAGCCTTTAAGCTGAAGAGCTCTTTTTCTCCACGGGAGTCCATGGATTTATACAGGACCGTTAGCAATAAGGGGTTTTAGCATTCGGGCCTTAGATTTTCACGAGACGCAGCGCCATCCTATCTCCAGAGTTAATGTCAAAAGAAAGTCGATCTAGTCCTGCGTGTATCACCATCCTTTACCGTGGTTAAAGAGAAGGTAGAACTTCTCCCTCTGCGTGTCGAACCGAAGATCGTTGCTGCACCAATAGGGATAAAACAGAGAAACTAAGCAAAAGAGCCGATCTGCCCTACTCCTTTCTACAAGTGGAATTTGTATCATAACTGCTCTACAAGAGGAACTCCTCCTTCCTCTCCCTTTCTCCGATCTTTCTTCAGGTGCCAGACGTTTCTGCCAATCCTACAGGGTGGGCAAAAAGAGTGGAACTCTTTTACGATAGTGTCCGTTGAGAAATTGAGTATTGCTGACCCATCTCCTTGGAACATTCATCGTCTTGGGATTAAAACTCGACTGCAAAATGTATGGTAACCGATCCTCGGAGAGGCAAAGACACGAAATACCCTTGATGCACTTCTGCAATCGCGGTGCATGTCCACCGTCTTATTTCAGAGTCGGACATGAATTGGGTCGACGTATGCAGCGCAACTTCTTAGGCCTATAAATTCTGCTTGGTCGATAGTCAATCTTCCCGTTTGAAGAATACATTGGTCTTTCATACGTATATTTTGAAAATTTTTCTCAGAGTTGATACGACAATGAAGATTTAGGATTAACACGGAGGATTAGGAATAGTAGGAACAGAATCAGAAGTGTTGCCTGTCTCTTGATCCTATCTCCCCACAGGTTTCACAGCATTGACAGAGGAATACAGCAAAGGGAAAAAAACTGGGACGGATCAGTTGTCCAAACTTCTCAATTCTTACCTAGAGGCCATCGTTGATGTGATCCTCGTCTATGAAGGCGACGTGACTAAGTTTGCAGGCAAGGATTGCATTCGCAACGGGCATACTTGAACTGCTGATTTGACCCGGAGATTTCACGTGATGCAATAGAAATTTCATTCCTTCTTTCGTTGTTCAGGTGACGCTGTGTTCGCCATCTGGGAAGCTCGCGGCAAAAACTGGTGCCAACTGGTCCATGTCGTCATCTGTTGTGCCATGCAGATTCAGGCCACTTGTGCCAATTGGAAAACTTCATTTCCGGACATCAAACTCAACGGTGTGTCACTTTTTCCCACCGACCGTTGCTGGCAATTCCATGTGGAATTTTCTGCTGTCTGTCGCAGTGAAAATCGGGATAGCAGCGGGGCCGATCACGTTGATCTTCTTCGGGAACAAGAACTTCAAAAGCTTCATCGAATGCGGACCAGCAGTGGATGCAGTGAACAAGGCAGAATCCCAGTGCATGGCAGGGGAGGTGGTGCTCTCTCATCAGACGTGGATCATGTTCTGTCTCCCCATTTGGTACAACCACGAGATCTGCGCGGATAGAAAACACGTGAAGGTAAACGTCCGCTGCTGCCTTCGACGATGCTTAATCTGCCTTGGAATTGTCTTTAGAAGTCTGCATGGATTTTCTGCCTAGATCAAGCACATCCAGACCAACCCAATGAAAATTGAATTGCAACCTGGAGAACTCCAGGGTCTGTTCAGAGATATTCATCTCTTTGACGATGGATGCCAAATATCGAATATGCTCTTATCCGTTTGTCTCTCTCTCTTTCTCTCTCTCTCCATGTTCTCTCCAGAGAGGGAGGCAGTCTCCTTCGCAGTCAAGAACAACATGTGGAGGAAACTCGTTCCTTACGTCATTCCACCAGTACTCAAACAAGTAAGTCCCAGTAGCCTCAAAAACATTGATTTTTGCTCCTTGGTCCTCGTATAGACTCACGCTGGCAATCTCCCAATCCTCAGGTGATGGATGGGCTGGAAGGTTTCATGGCAGAGATGAGACAGGCAACAATCATGTTTATCAAACTCGAGGAGAAGCACACGGAGACAGACGATAAATCCATCATCCTCACGGCTACTTTCAATATCATTGTGGAGTGAGTCTATCATGTAGCTATCAACTAGGTGCTTTGAAAAAAAGAAAGTCAGTGCCCAGAGCAGAAGTTTTCCGAACAATAAATGGAAGGACATAATTTCCTCAAACCTCTTCTCTACGCGAAAACCTCAAAAGGTCATTTATATATTCATAAAGCACAGGACCAGGCCACAGATAGTCAAACGCATTACCAGTCAGTCACATGCTACCGATTCGCCGCATGTGGAGAACGAAAAATGTAAATATTATAGTTCATCCTCGGAAACGGCATTAGCCCCAGCCTTCTGTGATCTTCATACTAATGAAGGTATTTGGGCACTCCTCTTTCTAGGCACATGGTCCAGAACAAGGGGATGATGACAAAGGTTTTCATGTTCGATAAGGGGATGCTCTTCCTGTGTGTCTTCGGGCTTCCTGGCTATAAACAGACGGACGAGTGTGCAGTGGCTCTCCGGACAGGCCATGCCGTCAAATCCGACCTCGAGAAATTGGGCAACATCGAAAGCGCCTCGATCGGCATCGCCACAGGTCCTCGACAACTCTTCCTTTCCCTCAAAAATTTTAGAGGGAGGGGGGGGGGGGGGACAATCTAAATTTTTTAAAAATGCAAGCAGGACATTTCGACACCGGAATCATATTGAGATACAGTATCTTGAGTAGAGGTCTTGAGTTTTCTCTTAAAACCAAAACCTTAAGTTCCTAATCTCATGGTTGGATCTGTCCTTCATTGCCCTTCTTCAATTCATTGATTATGACGGCAATCTACTCTACTCTGAAAACGTGTCCTCAAGCTGTGAACTGAACGTTTTGGTTTTTTTAAATGCAGGCCTCACGTATTGTGGCGTTGTAGGCCATGCATACAGGCACGAATACACTGTGATCGGAAGGAAGGTGAATCTAGCAGCCCGGTTGATGACCAGCTACCCTTCCAAACTGACTTGCGATTATGACACTCACAACTGCTCCAAGTTGCCTCCAAGTTCTTTCCAGAAGCTGGAACTTATCCCTCTGAAAGGCTTTGCTGACGTCGGCCCCATTTACGAATTCCTCGGGGTTATCGAGTGAGCTTTCTCTTGCTGACAGGACAAGAATCTGACGACCCAAAGGTCGTTTTCAATCAAGAGATTGTCATTGCGAAAGCAGGCAGTCGACGACAGACCTGGCGATCCGCAGTTTCCGTCTCCCGATGATCGACCGACACAAGCTCATCATGGTCGTTCTCAGGCAGCTTTTGACGAGAATCCCCTCTCATTTCGTCATCATCTACGAAGGCTCGATTGGGATGGGGAAGACTCGTCTCCTTGACTCCATCCTCCTGGAGGTGACTTTCCGGAATATGGCCTTCATTGGCATCTCAGTGACTCACGACGAATCTCCGAAGCCATATCATGTCCTCGCACGAATCCTTCTGCAGGTAGATCATTATTTTATACAGGATCCAACGCGATGCAAGCACTTGATCAGAGAAAATACAACCGTACGTGACTCTCGCTTTGAAAGAACGGCATTCGCTGTCTCACAGGCTTCATGCTTTGAATTTGAGAGGGATGGATTAGAGATATATTAAGTTCGATTACGTTGTCTATTCATAAATTCAGTTTTTACAATATTTTTCAGCCGAGTGAGACACTGTTTCATTTGAGCCCGACAGGTGAATGAGAAAAATTCCTCACTTTAACCAATTGGAGGTTTGGTGAAAAAAAAAATTGTCGCTACCATCCATGACCTCTGAATCGAAGGGTCACTGATGGTCATGATCAAGGTTCATGACTCTTTCCTGTCATATTTGATTCGTGTGGGATTCTCATATTTGCTAAAAATCTAAAATACCTCAGAGAAAAATATGCTCGTAAAGCCTCAGTTTATTTCGCTCTCGATTATATATACTCGCCCGGACGGATCCTGAAAGGCGATAACCGGTGGTCATCCCGAATCCAATCCGAGGAAGCTGCAGACTCGATTGACTCAGCTAGCGGCGACCAGAGAGCGACAGGATAAACTCTGGCTCCTCAACGATATCCTTCTACTAGAATTTCCCATCAAAATGCGGGAGTGGGCGCGGGATCAAGTTCGTCGAAGGGTCATCACGTTCCAGCTAATTGCTGAACTTCTAGGCCTGGTCAGAATGGTTTTCATGCGCCTTGGGGAAGAGGGAAATCGTGGACATGTCCAAAACGAATAGATATTCCCGGTTGACTTTCTTTGGAGGGAGAGCAGAACCATACCTTTAATATTACAGCTTTTATGTCTTCATCAAAGGCAGTGGAAAAATCAATGTCCGTTTTACATTGTCCTCGATTTCTTCCCTCCCGGGACCTGTTCTACTGGAAATTTACAAGTGTTCTTTCTGCATTTAATAGGGTCATGTCTTGTTCGTGTCAAGGTTCAATGGAACCACTGGCAGAGCTGAATAAAAACACACGACCCTCGTAAATACAGGCACTACAGTCATAACTTGTATCTTATAAACTTCTGTGGAAGGGGCCCCAGGAAGTACTGACTATACTTTTCACTGGCTCTCAGTCTCGGGACAAACTAGTTCATCTGTCTCTCTCTCTCATGTAGGTTGCAAAGGCGACGAATTCGAGGTTGATGATCGTGGTGGACAATGCCCACTCCATGGATCGAGAGACTTGGGAATGGGTTGAGCACGTGGCTCAATTGAAGCCCAAGCTCTTCATTGTGGTTCTCACTCTAGATTCCGTCACTTCCCGATTCATCCACAAGGCAGCTGTGGAAGAGTTCTTGAAGAGCGATCTCATCCTTCGGATGACCATAGATTCCCTAACCAACGAAGTCCTTGCCACCCTTGCCTGCCAGTTTCTCAGTGTTGCTGCTGTGTCTTGGAAAATCGTCGAGTGAGTCATGCCTTCCGTGAGGACTCAGCAGTCTTGCTTCAAAAAGAACTTTCTTTTTCCAGGAATAAGAGGTCACAATGGCACAACCTATAGGCTAGAATTGCCTTAGCTGAATTTCAAGAAAAAAAAGTAAACATTATTTGGAAAATTTAAATCTTGCACTCCTCATTGAAGAGTAGCAACATCACTACTTTTGTGGCCTTCTCTAGGCCTGTTACACGATCCCGTTGAAAGAAGACCTACGCCTGGAGTTCTCATCCCACCTTTAAAATTTATTTTAAATATTAGTTTGCTTCAGAAGAAGAGTGACGGAAACCCAGGCTGGTGTGAGGAAGTGCTGAAACAGCTGCGAGATCGAGACTTAGTCACCATAGAGCCCCTCGACGCCCACCCTGGATCAAACCTCATCTTTGGAGACACACATTACCTCATGGTCCCTCTCTATACCTCATCCACGTTCTTCTCCAGTATGTCTCTAAAGAATATTAAAAATCATTTCTTTTCGAATCTCAATTAGGAGAGACAGAGGGTTCGTGCGGAAGACACAATGTCCTCTCTACACGCCCCCCAGTTCACCCTCACCGAAAATGAGCGCAAGTTTTCCTTCATTCCATACGAATGTGAGCTTTTCTTCTCCATCGGCAAATGGACGAATGAAGTGAAAGCGACGCTCAACTGGATGGGAGTTTGTTTGGTTTGTAGCGGAGGAGTCGACGAAGACGGAAGCTGCAGAGACAAGGAAAAACTTAGAAGGAAAGCAAGTTCCGCTGAAGGAAAGCAAGCTCCAGGAGAAAGAAGCCGAGGCCCAGCCCGGATTCCCACCTGAATCACTGGTGAATACTCTCCAGGATTATCCCTTCGAGATCACGCATAAAGCCGAAGATCTGTTTCTCAAGTGTGATGAACGTTCAACTTACAAAGAGGACGAGGTGACTCTTAAATAACTACTCTATATGACTTCACATACATGATTCAGAATTTGTTAAATTTTTTTTATTTGCTTCTTTCGTAAGTTGGTAGAAGTTATGAGTCTTCCAGAGAAACTTGATAATATGGTATCCTCTTCTTCTCTACAAGAAGCCGCTTTCGTTTCCGAAGGAGTCACTTTGGAAAATCTTCCATTCGTGGGCGATATGAAAGGTGAATGTTAATGTTAAACTTTAATTCCTTCATTTGATTCTTTGTCCGTCTTGGAGTCTTGATTCTATTTCAGATATGGTGCTTTCGCGACTGGATGAACTGAGTCACTTCCAGCTTTTTTACCTCAAATGCGCGGCCGTGCTTGGAGATTTTTTCAACGTTTTCCTTCTCCGGAAAATGCTTTCAGACATTCCCGACGACAAATTCATACGAAGTGAGTCTTTTCATCCTTAGTTTAACCTGGTGAACAATGGAAATAGGAAATATGAAGGATAACCTGGTTGAACGTGTTCAGCGACGAAGAGGATCGTGGCAGCTGGCTTTATCGAATGCCCAAGAAGAATCCGATGGGAAAGCTTTGGAGGAACGCTGAATCATAGGAGGACTTCATACTATCCCAGTATGAGTTGACTTGGCTGCCATTTTTTGAAGGCAAAGATGTCAGATTTAATGAAATACCAGAAGGACTTCATTATGGGAGAACACGGAGTCATGCATCACCGTTTCTTCGGTGACCCCCATCGTAAAACACCTGTGGATCTTCATAATCTGAAATATCTACAGGGGCGATAGCACATTTCTTTCATCCCCTTTCCGACTATCGGGAGGTCGGATTCCTGAAGCACTTTTGTTAAGACGAAGTTTAAACTGTTTATAGAGGTAGGCATATATAGAGGAGGCATGTAGAGCGATGAAAAAGGAATTTCACTTGCAGGGTTCCACAGCCTGTTTGGTCACTCTCTCAAGTGCGTCTGTCTCGTTTATATGGAATGCTGTCATTCCTCTTGCCTCTCCTGTTGTCGTCTGCTCTATGGTAATATACAGTAAAGTTCTCTGCCGGGCTCTCCCTTGAATGTGCGAGTAATACTTAGGCCTAGGTCCAACGACATTCAGCCAGACTTGTGCTGTTGTTGCTTGATACACATCACAACTTTCTTTTCTTTTCAATATTGAAGTGGGTTTCATATTGAAACCAACACTAGTTTCAAAATCGAAGTCGAAGTTGAAGCTAATCAACGCTTCAACGCCTAGATTCTGTCACTGCACAGTAAATTCATAGAAGAGGCATTTAATTGCTAGCGGAATTTTGTAATATAAATTGAGGGTGGAGGGGATGAAGAAAGGAAAAATCTGATTGAAAACAAGTGTTTACACCCCCACCTAAAGGAATCTCTATTTTAAAAAAATGTTCTGCCAACCTATTTCTGTCATCCTGCTTACATGTTCCAAAATGATAATGTAACCATTGGCAGAAAAGAAACGAGGAATTCATTACATACTGCATTTTCCATCAGCGGATGGGTGGCTGATGAGACCAGCATGTCTCCAAACACTAAAGGCAAACATCGGATAGGACAAACTACAGGCACGCCCACATGTTGTCCTAAGCGTCCTGAAAATTGTAATCAAAAGAATAGAGGCAGCTCTCCAAGCTCGACAAGAACTATCATAGTAACCATTTTGCCCAGTTTGTTTCATACCATGAGGGAAATCGATTTCAAGATATCCTGATGAACTCCATTCACAATCGTTGCATGTAATAAGCTCTTTCTGCTCACTGAGTTGGAGCTATTGGTTTTTGGTTAAATCCAACAAGAAGATAGAAAGTGCATGCCAAATAGGTTTTTTTTAAAGACACCCTACATATGTATGAATAATGGACGTGGCAGGGTTTTCTGGAATTCGAGCCATCAGTCTGGGAGATCGAACGAACATCGGACCTCCTCCTCTCATGGCGAAACTTATCTCAGATCCCAGCAATCGACTCATGTGCGATTGCATCGTCGGTTCGTCTCTTTTTCCATAAATATAGGAAAGTCTTAATGACGGGGACGTATTATTTGAAAGACACATCCAATCAAACTTTATTTGATCTTCTGTTTCCCCAAGAGAGAGGTGGTCACCCGATGGACATGGAGGTGTATTGCCCCATCTTCCGTTTTACGAATCCCCTCCTAAGAGAGGCAGCTTACGAGATCTTGACAGACGACCAACGGAAGTCTCTGCATATCGAGGCTGCCAACATCTTGGAGACGTTTGACATGACCTGCAAGGACTGCGGAGGGGAAGAGTACGTGAGCTGGAAAGAGGCCAAAGTAAAGTCTTCCGTCATCACTTTCTGCATTTCCTTCTCTTTCAGGCCACATCCAGTTCCTAGACGAGTTTTCATTTCAGGAAATATATCGGAAATAGCAATCTCAAAAATTAACCGAAACTGCTAGAGCTTCTATCGGTTCATACATCTGGATGAATCCTACGCCACCTGAGTCAAGGTTTCGAACTTAATACCAATGTTGGTCTTTCATGACTCACCAATTGTCAAATGGTTTCGCACAACTATGGCTTGTTAAACGCAAAAAAAACTGTCTAAAACTGTAACTTCTGCTGATGTAAGGCGATCCATTTTGGACACGTATGCAATGCCTCCAGCCTTCGTGGTTTACTTCTCCAGGGTTCGTTTTCAGTCCCAATGATGCCAAACCTGGTTCAAAAGGGAATACTCTGGTCTCTAGAGTGACTAGTTTTCATATCAATCACTGGAAATTAACTCCTAATAGAGTGAAAGAAAATCTGGAGAAAATAGATGGACTGACACATGCACAGACAACCCAAATGTTACAGTGTCTGTATTTTACCTTCTGTGGTGAGGTGGACGGTCGTTGATGGCTGGGGATCGATCGCATCGGACAGAAGTAAAAGTAGACTGAATGAATTAAAATTGTGTGAATAGTAAACAGTTGCTAACTTTAATTCTAACAGTAGTACAATCATTTTTGATAAATGAATCGATCACTAGTCCTAAGGATTATTGGCCAAATATTTTTAACTTCAGTGTTTAGTATCTGATTACAGATGGACCGGGGGAAAGAGACCCGGTACAAGATCAGTCAAGCGCCGTGGCTCGAAAAAGGAGTGATGCGAAACAAACCCTATCGCCTTCCACGCGAACTCACCCCGCAGGGCATCTGCTGGCGAAGGGGCAAACGCGAGACGGTCACCGACCGGAGATGGAAGGTGAGATCCTCTTCTTTTTTTTTATGTACTGGCACGTGAAAGGCCTCAAGATCGGGTTGTTGTAGGGATTTGGACCGAGGATCCTACTGATACGGAGAGGGAGGAAACGGGAAGGGAGACGGGATCACGTGTCCGTAGAGAAGCAATTCATCCAGAAGGGGAAAAGGGGAGCAGTCGTGATTCTGGGGGAACAAGCTGAGATAGACGGGAGGAAAGCTGGTGTCAGTGATCCCTCGGAGATGCCTTTAAGAACGTCGGCAGGCTCCGGCTATTATTTCATGGATTCCCCTCCTGGGATCACGAGGTTCAGCACGAAAGAAAGCATCCTGTTTGAACCTGAGAGAGAAGGCGGCTCGAGCTCGAAAATCAGTCCAGGGATGTGTTATCAGAGCATCAGAGACCTCTCGGTGCCCAGGCAGGTGTCACCAACGACGACCCTGGCAATGAACCGAAGTACTGAATGCTTCCGCTTCCGTTGCACTTCTCCCTGTCATCACCTACGACACTCAGCGGGTTCGACTGTCTATCGATAAACAAATATGTTCATTCACATCTTAGGAATGAGAGAAATGTGAAATTTACAGGTTGGCGAAAGTCCACGCAAGACGGTTTGGAAAGGGAGCACGGGGGTCGAGGCTCACAATTCCTAATTGGTGCTGGAGAAGCCAACCCCTCCTTCCCATTCCAAGGTCAATCAAGATTCTGGAATCATAGGATATTTGTAGGAAGAAATGAGAAGGAACCAGAGAAGGAAAAACATTTGGATTTTATTCACACTGTTCATGTACGAAATGAACTTACAACATGAAGATGTAACACCTGTCGTTCCACACTGATACCGATAAGAGGTGCCAATGACAAATGAAGTTCCCCGCGTCCGGTAGCTTGGATCCAACTTGAATAGGGGGCATATACTCCCTGTAAAGAAATAATATGCTCTGATGCGTTTCAAAATTAGATTTTGGTCGATTGTTGCACAGGTGAAAATGAAAGGAAACTAGTACTTCTCTAAAAAAAAAAAAAAAGAAAAAAAAGTACTTTGATTCGGAGTCGGTTTGAATCTGTTCACACGTTGCGATTGGTTTAAGTCTGGGTGTCACGAATGAAGTGCTTATGTGCGCATCATCCCCCAAGTCAAAATGGTTGAGCGTGGAGCTGTAAATTGGTACGAATCTTCGTGTGGGTGATAGATTCTTTTTGGATTCGTCCTATGTCGCCGCCGTTTTGAGCACTACACTTTGTCGGCGAATGTGCATGTCAAACCCATGTGTCAGAAGAGTTGGGTGTGGAGGTCTGCCACTTCAGTATGAGTATTTTCGGAAATGGGGGGGGGGGGGGGTGAACCCACATGAAGTTCCTTAGAGTCTAGTGGCAGGGGTATGACGTCTTTATGGATTTCGAAACTTTCTGCGGCAACGGATTCCACTAGTAACGTTGGCTCAATGGAAAATCCCATCGTACGGGTAGTCACTTACAGCTAATGATATGGAGCAATAGCGGTAGTGGGGAAGAAATTGACCGACGACAGGTTGAGCACATAGGTGAGGAGTTAGTTGTAGAGCTGTGAAAAAAGTTACAGCTGTGAAGACCAGGGGACGTTCTTGGGATAGTTCTCTTTCTTGTCTCTGTCCCAGGGTTGGCCCCACAGCAGGCTAGAGGACTCAGGGCCATCGGGGAACTGCCGGAAATTGTCACCTGGATCACCAACTTCGTCCAGGGTTATGATCGAGAGGACGTTATGGGACAAGGGCAGGGGCCAGATGTCAATCAACAGGGGCCCAGACGTTTTGCTCATACCAATTGGATGCAGACATCCCGTCGATTCAGTGACTTGCGAGAAGAGAAGCGACAATTCGCGATCACGACGGTGAGTCCGAACCAATATTTTCCCTCCACAAGAGTTCAAGAATTTCTTCAAGAGCTCGATGCTTTCGGCGAGCATACTAGCCCGAAGTGAACCGTCAAGACTAAAAACTATGCCCTCATTTAACGCCCTTTTCCAACGAACAGACCAAATCAGATGGTTTGATTATGAACTTTCTATTCTTAGGGCTAGACCAGGGATGCATAGCATACAGTCCTGGTCATTCCATGCCAAATCAACAGTCACAAACTTGATTCCCTCTGATTTCCATGAAATTTAGTGAGCTCGTAGGGGCTATTGGAAACCGATTCCATGCCAAAATGCGGCTCTCTGGATCAAGTACTTTCTGAGGTGCAGAGATTTGAAAGTTGCGAAAAAATGACCAATTTTGGGTCAAGTCATCATCACTTAAATTCCCATAACTTTTGTTCTTGCCTAATGAGATATAATTGTAACGGTCTCTTTACGCCCTTTTCATGGAGTTTAAATGAAAGCAAAAGTCAAAGGGTCTGACCTTTGACCTTGATTACAGAAAATGTCATTTTCATTTTTTTTACTTTCGCAACATTTTTTTCTCTAGAGATGTATCAAATTTCAATTGGGACTACCATGGGATCAGAAAATAGGGACTATAATGTGGCAGTAAGTGATTAAAAATCCTGAGAATGTACTGTGACATTCTGGATTCATCCAATTTCAGTCAAATTGCCGGCATATACAGGGTGGCGCAAAAGTCGCGCCCCATAGGGAAATTACAGTAAATGTTCAAATAGTTTGCCATAAACTTGAAAACACTTCGAATCGCTGTACAGATGTTTGTTTGAACATATCTTAACACCATCCTCTCGTCGTTTGTTTATTTTTCAGCCATTACTTGCCTGCAAAGAAAGAAACAAGAGTTAATGTAGTGCAACAGTGAAATTCCCTATGGGACGCGACTTTAGCCCTTTTTTCCCTTGCAGTAGTCAGAACTATCGGGAGTGTTTTAGAGAGTTTATGAAATTCTTGAAGTTCTAGGAAGTTATTAAAGTAGGTTCCAGAAAAATGAATATTCTGGACGGTTTTTGAGGCAATCCACTTTTCCAAGCATCTTACGAGAAATTTCTGGAAATCGCATCTTCCTCAAGGTTAATTAATGTGGAATCAAATGACAGCAATGACGCTCAAAAGCTGACAGAAAGTGATATCATCAGCCAACTGACGGAAAATTTTATAGCGTCCACAGAGAGAAGAGTGAAGATTCAAATACTGACAATTCTTCCACAAAGTTGGAGCATTATGAAAATTCAAAACGAGTTCGGCGCATCTAATTTCATGATGCGTAAAGCAAAAGAACTTGTGAAGCAGAAAGGGATAATTTCCATGCTAAATTCTAAACCAGGAAAAGTAATTCCAGCGGAAACAGCCGATGTCGTCAGGAACTTCTACGAAAGAGACGAAATGAGTCGCCTCGTGCATGGCAAGAAAGAGTTCGTTTCTGTGAAAGGGGTTTGAAAGCGGATTCATGTCCAGAAAAGGCTAGTTTTGAGCAGTTTGAGGGAGGTGTATCAAGTGTTGAAAGTTAGGTTCCCCGCTCAAGCAATTAGCTTCTCAAAATTTGCATAACTTCGTCCAAAGCATTGCGTCGTAGCTGGAGCGAGGGGTACCCATACACTATGCGTCTGTACAATCCATCAAAGCGTGAAGCTGATGATGGTGGGCGCAAAGATTACTGATCTGACTGTTGATGACGATGTCCCACTGAAAACATACAGTTACTATCTGGCAAGGATCATCTGCCATCCTCCTGAAGGAGCGTGCTACTTCCAAGAATTCCGTTCATGCCCTGCCATATCAAGTCTGAAGGTCCTGAGATTGCTTATTGGAACACAATATGATAGAGAACATAATCTACTGACTGGGGATCTCCGTTCACAGATCCAGCCTCGAGACTCTCCGTAATTCCTCTGATGATTTTTTGGATTCTTTTTGCGAGAAGCTGGAAATTCTCCTATTTTATTTATTAATTCATCCTTTCCTCTTTCCCTCAAGCCACTTCATAGAGCTGTTGTTGAGTGTCTAACTGCAAGTTAGTGCTAAGATGAGATCTCTGGAGGCAATATCAGCCAGTTATTAGCGTGTTTAATCCACTGAAGGTAATTGTGAGGCTTACCATGCATCAAGTTGATGCATCAGCCTGAGACATGAAGCTGATGCATGCATCACAATTACCCTCCGCGAATCAAACACCCTAACAACTCGTTGAAATTACCTCCAGAGATCTCATCTTGGCACTGCCTTGCAGTTAGATAAACGAAAATAACTCTACGATGAAGTGGCTTAAGGGAAAGAGAAAGGGAAACTGGCGCCTTCAATCGCACCGTCCTCTTCCTCAATTTCTTTGGCATTTTGCAAGTTTCCTCCAAATTGCCTCATCTCAAGATCTCAAAACTTTGCCATATATTTTTGCACATCTTTATGAGTTTTCTGCCACGTTTGATCAGTAAAATCAGTTAACCGTTTCGGGAGATTAATTTGAACCCAAGGCTGCAATTGAAATTAGATCAATTGGCAAGTTTTCTCCATTAATATTCATCCCACACACTTGAAATTCTTAACGAGTTCATAGCATTCTAGTGCGAGCCTGTGTACCAAATTTCATCAAGATCGCTCAACTCCTTCTTGTTGTTCCAATTTCATTTGGAGGCAGTGTATTTGGCAATTTTCGTGCACCTGCTCTCATGCTATTGTTTGTATCTCCTGATCCCATGGTACTCCCATACTTAAATTTGGTACATCTATAGAAAAAAAAGAGAATATAATGGTAATTGTTTAGAGAAAATAAAATGACCCTTTGACCTTTGTTTTCATTGAAACTCCATCAATCGCACATCATTTAAAAGGATGTGAAGGGACCGTTAAAATGACACTTCATTCAGCTCTTTCAATTAAATAGAACAAAAGGAAATAAAGGGCACTTAAAAGCTGATGGCTTGATTCAAAATTGGTCATTTTTTCGCAACTTTCAAATCTCTGCACCTCAGAAAGTATTTGATCCAGATAGCTGCAATTTAGCATAGAATCGTTTTTCAATAGCCCCTACAAACTCACCAAATTTCATGGAAATCGGAGGAAGTCAAGTCAATTCTTTTGTGCTGATTTGACATGGAATGAACTGCCTGCGGCCCGCCATGTCTAGTGGCGTTGTGAGTGCTATTAATGGTTCCTGCCCTGTTGGTCACAACTATAGTCAGCCAGACTGCTGCCCGCGGTGGGTGAGTAAAAACCACAAATGGCCCTCACTCTTACGAGTTGTGCACCCCTGAGCTTGATGGTCTCATGTGAAATCCGTTCGATAATGATCAGAGCAACTGTCTGCGACCAAGATCTTCCAGATTCCCCCGACTAGTCTGGATCATGAGATTCGGGATTGTGGCGGATAGGATCGCACATAACATTGAGGCCCCCAAAACAATCTCTGTTGACGTCCCGGGAAAGAATGTCACTATTATTCACGCCGAAAGAGTTGACGAAGAATCCCGAACTGGTACGCCTTCATATTTAGGTTAAACCTACCCTGCATAATATGACAACTCGATATCTCAAAGAAATATCCTCTGAGAGCTGCTCCAAATAATGAAGGATAACTTTCTTGGACTTTCGATTTTAAAACGTCCAAAAGCTCATGCAAAGCCATTCAAGAATATCTCTGAAATATAGCACGAATATTTCCCAGGTAATTCACGCTTCCAATTTGGCCCTCATTCAAGTCTAATATTTCATAAATTTTCACAGGAAACACTAAAAACTTTCTGGGATCATGACTGTTTCTTGAAGAAGCTATATTAGGGATGTTAAGATGTTTTTAAGATGTAAAGGAAAAATGGTTTGATTCGTAAAATTCAGGTAGAGTTCCTTATCTATGAACATATATAACTTCTCTGATTTACCAAAGTCGCTTCAGGGGTCTAGTAGTGAATATGACGATTGTACACTTGAGAATAACTCCTGACTCGGAAGAATCCCTGAGGACTTCTCAGAAGTAAAATAAATAAATCAGTTCCACTTAAAAGCCAGACATTACCGATGTGTCTTTCTCCTCCATCTCCTAACCCTTCCCCTTCAGGTTCTATGAAGTTCACCTGGCACTAAGTTGCTCAGACTTCAGAACTTCATTTAGCATTCACTTAAAATCGTCAAAGCAGAAGGAGTTAGGTGAGTAGGTTTTTATCTTAAAAATCTCATTGTAGTTGTACAGTATGTCTGTTTCTGCCCAGAGTTAATAAATATATCATTGTTAGGTTTCATGAATGTTCTAAACTTCGCCATTGATGTAACAATCAGGAGGCTTTTTCTGATCACTGCAATTTGCCCCTTTTTTTAATCCATAAAGAGAAACATGAAAAACCGAGTAAGGAATTTGAACGTCAAAATTCCATGCAAGAGACTTGGCCGAGAAAGGGAAAAATACGTAAAGTCTTTACCTTCTTATCACTCCCTCACCCCTTACTGTATAATCCGGTTGCCTTTTTTCAGTTTGGGCCCCTTATTATATCACGATGCGAATCGGTTGCAGAAGGATCAATTCCTATACATATAAATCGCATGGTCCATGTATCCCTACACAATTCCATTTCACAGGAAATCATCCGTATGAGCTCAAATTGAGAACACAATAAAGATCCTTAAGTTATAAATTAACTTCCATTTATTTTTTTGAACCAGGGCTGCGCAGTGACGGGAATATCCCGATTCTCTTGCATCAACTTGCCTCACAGAGAATTCACTATGAAAACTGAATTTGTCTTCAATGTGTTCTATTATTGGAAGTGAATGCAACTTATACGCCTGAATTATATTTCGACAAAAGTAGTGCCATCTAAGCGAAATTGTATTCACCTTCCATCTATTCTGGCCATAATATTGTTTGTGGCATGATCGGTGTCTTTGGTGAGTATCTACTGCGAGTATTTTCTATGTGAGCTAGATTCATGAGAGCCATATGAATTTCCAGGCAGTGACCATGGAAGGTCAGGAGGGACAGGAAAAGCTTACATGAGAAGCATCTGATTTTCTCTGGAAACCTTCTCGGAAATGTCAACCAAGCAGGTTCC